CTCTTAAGGGAGCTTATCATAATATTTAACTTTTTTTTCTCAAGTACAAAATTGCTTTGAAATTACATAAACAAATAAATTTCAAATTGAAAGAAACCTCAAATTATCAGTTTTCTAAGGTAGAAAAAACACCAAACATTAGTAATGAACTACAGTGTAAGAAGATCTATCATGGAGGTGATGTAAACTTTTGATTTAAGTATAAAAGGGGACAATACATAGCAATTTTGTGGTCAGGGACACTTGAGAAATTTTCATAACTTACAACAAGATGCATTATGAAAGAATAAGATGAGATGAGATGAAAGAACTGGCAGTTTCCATGAAATTGCATGATAAGTATCTTTGGTACCCAGTGTAATAAGCGTAATTTGATCGGCTGCCTCCAATGAATATCACTCATTTATGTATAACAAATTTGTAATAATTTATTGTATGCCCCAATGCAAGGTGGGCATTAGTCTCAACAGACTTTTTTCGTGCAAGTTATTTTTTATGTCAATGAACTCAAGACAAAACAGAGAGTCTGTGGGTAGACAAGGCAGACATCAAAATTACACAGCTCTTAGCTGCTCTTATATCCATAATTACAGTAGGAGAATTATTCAGATATTCATATGGCTGAACTCATGGTCATTTTATTGATATCTTTGAACTTAAGTAGGTCGCTGGCGCTCTTTTTTTCTCGCAATCAGCCTGGGAGAATGAGGCGAGACCCTTTGGACGAAAAGGGATTGGGACAAGACATGGGTGGGGCCCTCAGGAGAAGAAAAGCAAGACCGGCTGCCAACAGTACCTGAACCTTCTACACTAACTGCATTTTGAAACGTTGACGATTAAAGAAATATTTATTTTTACTTGTGCTTCAAAAGCCTGTATCCATTTTGTGCCCCACTGGATGAACAACTTTCTGGCATTTGGGCTCACGCGTATTTTTGAGTGGAACTAGTACACTAACAAAGAGATTCCACAACTGTTTTAATTGGCGTTCAAATAAGATTTGTGCAAATATTTCTTACACGGTAGATAAATGACAGCTAAATAGTTTCCCCCTCTCTTTAGAAAGAAGCGAGTGTGACCGAAACGACATGCCAAAGCCTGACGTAAAAACCCTGGGCTACTCTTCCGCATGGTAGTACGTTTATATCTGGCCCGGGGAGGGGTACTCCCAGAACAGTCGGGTGGGGGTGTGCGGCCCGCTTCCCAAAACCCCTACCCTATTTAAGACTAAAGAATACGAGGTCAAAATCGTTTGGAAGGCGAGCCAGCATCTATCACAGCGTTCACTCCCCTTCTACGCATGTGAGGAGAAGCCATTGTCGAACTTAGGCGCACCTGGAATTCAAGGGTACAAACGAACCGGAACTAGGATTGTATGCTTTCGCCCAGAGCGTTGGGCATTCGTTCACCGCTGAAGGAAAACGCGGGAGCTCCGGCTGGGGACGAGGCGCGAAATCTGCGCAATAACCTGTGGTAAATTCGTTCCATATATTTCTATCAGTTGCATAATAACAAGAAGAACTGGGGCGAGTGAAGTGAGGTGAAGGGCGGAGTGCTTTTCTGCTTATTCCGCGAATGAATAAACGCCTATACTTTGAGCTGCGTTCAGAAACCGTCAAGTATTACAACGTAATACGGCGACAATAAGCTCAGTATGTTGCCTTTCAAGTATCTTATTTAAAGACGAACTATAATACAAACAAATGTAAAAAGTTCATTGGTGAGTCCGTCATAGTGAGCTCACCACCGTGAAATAATCTGTTTCTGTTGGTTCAAAAAACTACATAACAAAAGACCACACAGTTTGGAAGAAGGAGAAAACATTTTTGAATCAGTATTCGAATGCCACCTTAGATAACCTTACAAACTTGAAGTACACACTGAAAAATAGGAATAAAACTCTACACACATCGACAGGTGAAACTTATTTTGCACACCACTATTTCTTGCTCACACTCTAAGTAAAAAACGTTCTTATGAACGTCCATTTATTATAACGCGGTTGAGAAATAAATATATAAATATAAATTTATTTAAATATTAAAATTTTGTCAAAGAAACTTTCAGTCGGACTGAATCTGTCATTATTCATTATTTCCACTGATTATGACCCTCATGACGAACATTACCAATCCAGAGGAAATTCTGAATAACAAGAAGCAATTCCTACACTTCGGATACTATTAAAAACTTAATCCTTCGCTGAAGATTTCTTTAAAAGTTTAGTGTCGAGGTACATGACATAAAGCACGTTTGATTTTTTCAATGACGTCCCTTTTCTTTTTTCCACCAGCGACCTTTTTATGAGAATCCTTAGGATCCCAGTCCTCACGAGCTTGGAGTAACGTGTGCTTCTGTGTAACGTCTTCAGAATCATCAGACGGACTTTCCACGTGACCATCCACGTGACCATTCATGTGTAAATCTGGATCTGATCCAGCTGGAGATATTTGCGGTGATACCCGAGGTGAATGGCCATGCTTTGGTGTAAACGGAGACTTGTTCCTTCCAAATGGTTTAGGCTTATATTTCAATGTCTCTGCCGCTAAGTAAAACTGCGCTTCATTTGGCTGCAGAAACCAGACTAACTGGTTTCTGTCGTCCGTAAACTCGATTACTTCTTCTTCTATAGTGGATATTTCCTGTGGAGACATGAAATATTTCGTCTCAGTACGTTCAATCAATCCAAAAAATAAGGTCAAATATGGACCTATTGGTAGATTGTGTTTACTTATTCTCCTCAAATGAAGACTTTCGACTTAACGTTTGCCGTCCCTATCATAACTGGAAAATACTCCACCCATGATTTATTTAATAGTTTTATTCTTATAATTACCTACCTTGTTTACATCAACTGCCTCGTTGAAAACTCGCTTGGCTGCCTCAGCAATATCCTAAAATGGCAAGAAAAAGCTCCAGCTTGAAAATGGTACATTTTAAATGAACAACAGCTAATGGTATGGGAAGTTTGATTTGTTCTGGTAAGTAGCTTGCTCTTGTAATTGGAACTTTAACTATTGCTTACATCAAGCGTCCCTTCGTAATCCTTGCATACTTCTTTCGTGTTAACGGTCATTCCAGTCTCATCATAGCTTAGGTCATGTAAGCTAAACAAGGTTTCTCCACGGTCCTTTTTAAACTGTTTATGTTCCCAAGCACCCGTGTGTGGATCAAAGTGGTATTGTAATAAAACAACGAAATAAATCATTTGTTAGACAGCCTTGACACCCAGACAAAAGACGTAGTTATACTAAATCAAAATGTGGCGCACTATGACAGCCACCTCGGAGACCCAGGGGGGGAGACAGCCGTGTCAGGAGTAAGTCAAACGGGCAAAAGCGGTATGAACGAAAGTTTACAAGAACGAACGAATGAGTCCAGGCAAGCACAAGTGTTTCAGGTTTTGTTGTTGTTGTTTTTCATAAAGCGCAAAGAGCCAGATGTTACAATTTTAGTTTTTAAACACGATACAAATTAAACTGAAACCGATGAAGAAAAAAAATATATCATAAATGTGCACTGAATAATAGCAAGATGATGTCACTGTTTCATCAAACAGTAATAGTCCTTGCAAATCTTGTGCTTGATTTATGGTTTCCTTGGGCTCAACTTTTCAATGATATCCTTTTTCGACTTGATCATTCAAACACCCTTTGCCTAAAATAAACCAATTTGTGATGACTGACGATCTTTTCATCGCTCAAGCAAGCCCAGCATTGTCTTTGCAGTAAAGGTCTGACTGACCTGCGGTAACAGTTTCCATCCATGCGTAGCTACCATGTTGACAGCATTTAGTACAAAATCCACTGGTTTGTCGTTCATGAAGTAAGGAAGACCGACTCGAGCAAAGCCAGGTCTGAACGGAAAGGAGAATTAGAAATGTTTTATATCTGATAAAGCAGACAAATCATAGACGCGGTAGGTCAGTGGAATTAAAACCTATACAATGATAAGACTCAACTTACTTCATTATTTCTAATGGTTCCTTTAATAATCCTCCCACACTTTCACTAAAGCAAAGATCAAATAAGAACACTGTTAGATCACTCATACAATAATAGATACGTTTGATTAGACTCGCACACAACTCGAATCAATGCATGCTAGAGTGCAATCAACGCATTTTAACCAGATCGGTCTCTTGCTATCTGTAAAGCGGAATCTACGCACCCTTGAACTCGCTTTAAACTCGCCTTAAACAAGTTTCATTCTAACATTAACTAGCGTTGCCCCTCAAAGATACCCAGAACTAATGGAAGTTTAGGCGCTTCATGAAATCTTAATAAATATAATGTGTGTAAATTTGTTTACTTTTCATGCTTTTCGAGGAACCACGTGAATTTTCTGGCCATTGATTCATTAAGACCAAGCAGATCCTGGAAAAATTAAGAAACAGAGTAAATGAAATATAACAGAACAAGCTCTCCACAATCTCATCCCCAGAGCACGCGCGTTTCCGGTCAGCGGTGACCGAGCCCTGGACATTCTGGGTGAAATCAAGAGCCGGAATCAGAAGAGAAGCGAAGAGGTTGGCGACCCAAGGCTTGATCTAACTTCTATCTTGCCTGGTCTTGGGCTTGTCCCAAGCCAAAGTGATTCCCCATAACATATCACAATATCATTAATAGTAATACCCAGGGTAGAATATAACACGATTCTTAGGCTTCTGTCGCTTATTTCTCCTTCTTCCTTCCATTCTATAATTATTTAGCGCTTCATTTTTAACGTATACACGGAAGTCGTAGGTAGCGGAGGTTGCTAAGCAAAGTAAGGCTTACCTGTGCGTAAGGTCCTGCGCATGCGCATCCTCCACGAGCCTGGATGCCATAGAGATCATTCAGAAGGACAGAAACAAAGTTATGATGCACAAGTTTACCGCTGTCCTGATGGTAGATGATTATGGAAAAAATAGGTAGCCGACTAGCGGTGTCATTTCCTAGTATAGCAATGTTTGGGTTTTCACCTAAAGCTTCAAACGCTTTCCTAACAAGAACAAATATAATAAGAAATATAAACATGATTACATCTGAAGATGGCACGAGGTCAACTACTGTAATGATTCAGATTGTTTCGCCAACTTTATAAAGCGAATGTGCAGACTTATATTATAAACGTATTGAAGAATCACTAAAACAGT